AGAGAGAGAGAGAGAGAGAGAGAGAGAGAGAGAGAGAGAGAGCAGAAAAAAAAAACAACGGAAAAAAGGAACCCCAACGAGAAGGCTTTGGGGAGAGAGGCGAGGGGAAGCAAGATGGGGATGGCTGAACTCAGGAGGACTGAACGAAACAGAGCAGATCGGAACTGAGGTTTGTATGTTTACAGAGGGATACATTTTTTTCTTTGCACAGAGAAATCAGTTCAATATCACTCGGAGAATATAAATAGGAAATTTCCGAAATTGATTATTCAATATGAAAATTTGAATGTCCCTTGTTCTTGTCCATCGTACCCGTCTTCCGTATTAAAATTAGAATGTCCTTGCTGTTGTTCATGGTGCCCATTGGTTCCTCCTCCTCCATCGTTACATTCTCCTCCTCCGTCTTCCCCGCGCCCTTCCTCCTACATCGCAGCTTCTTCTCCCTCCTTCATCCTAGCCGCCTCCTCTTCTTGATACTATTCCTCCTCTCTTATAGTGCCCTTCTCCTCCATCCTCCTCGTGCTCCTTTCCCTCCTGCATCGTACCATCCTCCTCCTATTTACCCTCATCATCTTCCTTTTTCATTGTGGCCTCCTCATTCTCGACCCTCCATCTTGGTGTCACCCTCCTCGTCCTGCTCGCCTATTGTCGCGCCCTCCTCCTCCATCCTGCTCCACGCTTCTCTTGCTGTTCCTAGTACTCCTCATCCTTCCTGTTTTTCTTCCTCTTCACTCTCCGTCCTGGCCATGTCCTCTTTCCCCCTCTCCATCGTAGCGTAGTCCTCCTCCTGCATTGCATTGCTTCTTGTCCATCCCGCTCCATTCCTCCTCCTCCTACTTCTCTTCCTCCTCCTCCATCGGAGCGTCCTCCTCCCCCATCCCATGCTGGTCGCGGTTCTCCTCCACCTCCTCCGTGTAGTTCTACTCCTCCTCCTCTCCCATCCTGCCGCGCCTGTTCGCTTCCTCAATTCCCATTTTACCCCTCCTCTTTCTACTTCTATGCCCCCTCCTATCCCCTGCCAACTCCATCTCGTCTTCTCGTGTAGTACCTGCTCATTCCAAGCAGAAGGCGCGACGGGTCTAATGGTGATCGTGCAGATGGATGTTGATGATTAAAGAGTATGATGATGGTAATGATGAAGGTGGTGATCAAGATGGCTCATCGTGATGATCGGTGACGATTGGTGATTGCTGGTGATGGGTTATGATCATGAGGGATGGTGATGATTGTTGATTGGCGGTTGTCATGGTAATGGTGTCGAAGACGATGACAGATGAAGATGATGGGTGATGCCCTCTACTCTCCGTTCCTCACTACGCGCGAACAAACTGAGCGCCTGCAAGCACGCACACGCTAACGAAGCAGGGACTTCAAGTGGGAAGCAACATGCGAGAGCGAGTGCACCGAATGCAAAGCACACAGGCAGGATCAAACGGACCCCTCACGAGCCCCGCATGCATGCAACCGGCATCGGACCAACAGCCGTGCAGGGGCCGGTGCAGATCTTTCCAGAACCCCACGCGCGAGAACGAAAAGAAAAAAAGGGTGCAGCCTCTGCAGCGCAATGAGCGGTTGCTGCTGGGCCCACCCCCTCCTGTCCCGAGCGTTTTACCGAGAGTGGAAGTCGGGCCTCGCGGGGGCGTCACGCGAGACCCGGCTTACACGTTAGCAAGAGTATAGATAGACAAGTCGGATCTGCCGCAGTCCAGGGGCAAGGAGGAAGTGAAATGTCGATGGAGCCCCACGTGCATGCAGGGCGGGTGATATAACGACCCCTCATGAGCCCCGCGCCCATGCAACCGGCATCGGACCAACAGCCGTGCAGAGGCCGGTGCAGATCTTTCCAGAACCCCACGCGCGAGAACGAAAGGGTGCAGCGCAATTAATGGCTGCTGCTGGGCCCACCCCCTCCTGTCCCGAGCGTTTTACTGAGGGTGGAAGTCGGGCCTCGTGCGGGCGTCACACGAGACCTGGCTTACACTTTAGCGAGAGTATAGATAGACAAGTCGGACCTGCCGCGGCCCAGAGGGGAGGAGGAAGTGAAACGCCGATGGCGAGCCTTGTCATGCAGGGCGGGTGGTATAACGACCCCAGAAACCCAAACAGGCTGAAACAGCAACACAGACACACACACACAAAAAAAAAAAAGAACGCTAAGACTTCTTGAAGCTCGGCTAGAACATGGAAAGATACACCATGAGATTTTTGTGCATGTGGAGAGTAGCGGAGCTAAGAATGAATCCTCCGTTCAGATATGGAAAGATACACTGCCATCTTTTTTGTCTTTTGTGCATGCGGAGAGTTAGACAAGT